TGGAAACCACCTTAGGAAGCGTCAGACTCACGGCAGTGCTGGGGTGTCGGAAGCACAGGCACCAGTCCTGCATCCAGAGAGAAAACCTTTAATATTTCAGCGAAGTTAAGGATGGTTTTGGCAGCTGCCACTACCTGAATATCCAAAAAATGGGAGGATAAAACTGAACAAAAGGCTCAGCCATACCAAAAATTTAGAAACAAATTGGTGAGTTCATTTTTTTTTTTTGTTCCGTGTTGCTTTCCACATCCTGTAACACTATTTCAGATCGAATGTGTCTTTATTCTTTTCTAATCAATGGAACAAGTACAGAATCTATAAACATCATTGGCTTACATGTTTCTCTGCATGTATGTGTAATTTAATGATTGCAGTCCAGTTCTGCTTTTTGTTGCATAAAAATCCATGTAATCGACAAAAGTTTTACTCAAAATAGTTATCTTCCCTAATAACTGATAAATTCCCACCTTTGCTTTTTAGATTTAAAATCATAGCACATACAATTTCAAACTGTGGATTATTTTATATACTATTTTGTTTTTATATATATTTTATATTATTGCACGAGTGCTTTTATGGATGAGATCGGGATAGCTTACTGGTAAGAGCTCGCTAGCGGGGATGAGCAGAGTTCAGCCGTCCTGGTGACCGTTAACCCTGGTGAAGGTGGAGGCGGAGGGTTTGGTACGCTCAGAAGAAGGTCCCTGATTCTCTCTAGTTTGTAGATGTGACATGATGCTTGCCTGTTCGCATAGGAGCTAAAGGAACTGATAAATTCCCGAGTTAGGTATATGAGTCGACCGAAATATCCACCTTCGCTGGAATCTCTAGATTTGGTGGGAAAAGGTTAATTAATTCTGCGACTCTGCTATTACAACCCCTCAGCTAATTGCCAGGAAGGGCTTTCTAACAACATCCATGAGAAAAGCGAGGTTGCATGTCGTATTTTTAGCAAACAGACCGGTGGGGATCTGTCGGTGCCTCTCACACCAATTGGTGATGCTGTGCCTTGGACGGAACGGGTTCTGGTCCCAGATCCGTGCGTGGGTGCTGTTCCTGCTCTTCACGCTGCCACTTTAGCCCCTTATTTTCTTCCTCTGGGTCTTAAACCCCAGTCGAGCATCCCTTCTCTTGTCCTCATTTTCTCCTTCCCTTATGCAGCTCAGCCAACACCACGGCAGCACAGCCGTTCCCAGAGTGCTCTAAAACGGTAACTCTTACCCAAGGAATCACGGGTTTTGTGGAGGTCGCAAAAGCCTTTCCAGTTTGCCAGTGGTCCCAGTTTAGAGGCGGTAGGTGAAGGTGGGCAGTGCTAGCGATGGGACCTGTCCTGGGCAGGTCGTGTACCCCCGCCCAGACCCTCCCAGTGCTCCCAGCATGGGGAAGAGAGGATGGACAGAGGTGGTCATCAGATACTGGGGTTTCTTGGGTTTTTTTTTAAAGTACTTAGATTTTTTTATTTTTTTTTTTTTACATGTACAACGAGCAGATGTAGTGTTGGGGAGCTGTCAGTTCATGGGGTGTCTTTGCCGGGACTGAAGCTGTGGATGCCCCATCCCTGGAGGGGTTCAAGGCCAGGCTGGATGAGGCTTTGGGCAACCTGGGCTGGTGGGAGGTGTCCCTGCCCATGGCAGGGGGTGGCACTGGGTGGGCTTTATGGTCCCTTCCAGCCCAAACCATCCTGGGATTCTATAAAGTGAGAATGGGAGGGGGTATTGGGAAGAAATATTTGCAGAACATCCTTTAAGTGAACTCGTTCCTCCTCCTGCAGCACTGGAAAGCTTGGCTGCGCTCAGATCAGTTTACAAACATTGTGTCTTCTTGTATCTACAGCGTTAAAAACATAAAGTGTGTCTGTGCTGGGCTGATACAGTCTCTCCACAGCACGTTTCTGTGGATATTTCCATACTTGCCCTGATTTTTTTTTTTTCTCCAAGCTGGAGATGCTGTAGGCTAGTACTCACAAATACTGAAAAAATAATATATTGTTCTGGAAAATCTCTTCTGAAACATAAATTGGTTATTGAGAGGAAAAATGCAAGTTCAAATATTAGGAACATATTTTATTTATTCCCTTACGGCTGATTAAACTTAGATTTTGCTACAATTCATGCAGCCTGGGCGATGTACAGCTGGTGTAGAAACTTTATTCCGAGCTCTGTAAATACTGATCCTGTTCGTTAGTGATGCCGGGACCCCTTGGAGCGGATGCGCAGGATGGGGAGCTCGGGGACGTGGGACGAGGTGACACTGCGGGGCTTTGGGGGGCTCCCAGCCTGGGGGACCCCACCCGAGCATCCCACAGCGTGCTGGGCTGGGTCTGGGGGGTCGGTGGATGCAGCAGAGCTGGGCTGACCGAGGTCTGCTGGGCAGCTCCTCTCCGGGGAAGTTGGGAATCCTGCTTGCTGTCCATAGTTACAGAAAGCAGAAGCAGGCGTCGTCTCCAAAATAAAAGTGAAAGTGGGTTTGGGTGATGATTAGAGTTAATCATAACTTATTACTGTAGTTGTTAGTATGACTCCACAGAGGCAAAATACAGCTAATGGGCTGAGAAAAACCTGTAGGAACACTTTCTAATATTCCTGTTTCAGCTTTTTTTCCAGCGAGAGCTCTGCAGATCGGTTTGTGTGATATTAAATTTGACCGGTTTTTCATGACCGGTTGCTGATGACGAAGAATCTGGAATGTCAGCAGGATCCAGATCTGCGTGGGAAATTCCATTGCGTCCTTCAAAAAAATTGCTTAAGCCTGAATCTTTGCAAGAATGGGCAATGTCGTACCATTCGATCAAAGGCTGCCTTCCCCCCGGGAAAGGAAGGAGGAGAGGGAGAGGAGGCAGGGGATGAGGGTTTCTGGTGCAGGCAGAGGAGCGGGGATGGGTTTATTCATCTGAAACCAGCGGCACTGACACAGCTGCTGGCATCAGTAGAGTAGGTTTGCATGGACTTACAGAATTTCTTGGTGCTCAAAAATAGAAATTTCTTTTCAATATAGTATTTTTGCATTGATAATCATCTGACACAAAGCCAGTTCATTTAAGAAAGATTTCAGCGTCAGCTTTCCTTTGTGCTGGATCTGTCTGGAGGTCCCAGAGGGTCTGTGCTTGGTGTAACCCCCCACCAGCCTGTACCGGAACGCTGTGATTCCACCTGCAAAGAGTGGGGGGCTTGAGCTCATTCCTCTTGTATGTGGGACATGGAAAAGCTGCTCCAGGAAGGTCTGAGAAATGCCCAAGCGATGCAGGTTCTGCCCCGGGGGTAGCACCCACAAAGTCACTCTCCTGGCTTTTTCCTGCATTGCACATGAA